TAGACAATCCTTCCCCCATTTTTATCCTTCTACTTTCTGGGTTTACTTGGCTTTACTTAATTTGAGTCAAACAAGTTTTTCTTATGTTTTTGATATTTTTATATTATACTGTTTTCATTTCTTCTTCAAAGTGTTGAATTGGTTATTTTTTAAAAGTTAAAGGATTCTATTGAAACAATTGGAGCAATTTAATATGGACTATATATTAGGAAATAATATTGTATCCATGTTAAGTTTCTTGAAGTTGACAGTTGTGTTGTGATTATGGAAAAGAATGCCATTTTCCTTAGGAGACAAATGGAAATAGGGACAAAGGGTGATAATATCTGCTACTTACTTTCAGTCATGTTAAGAAAAAATCTTAATATGTGCTTATAGGTATATGGGAAATAAAGTAACAAAGCAAATGTGCAAAATATTGACAATCGGTAAACTTAGATGCATTGTGTGTGGTAGTTCATTATATTCTCGAACTATTCTATAAATTGGATTATTTTCAAAATTAATTAAATATGAATTGTTACTTTTTTTGGCATTCAATTGTATTAGGCCAGCTTTTCCTTGAAAGCTTTAGGTGTACAGTTACAAAGTTAACCCTGACTTTTATCACTGGTAGTCTCAGTGGCTAAATGGAGATAATTCCCATAGCTGGCGAGCCCCGTCACCGATGTCAGAAATTATCAGTGTCTCTGGTTCTAGCATAATCTATTGTATGTGAAACCATTGTGGTGATGTGCCACTCATGCTTCATTTTGTAGCGCTGAGGGCCTTATAAGTGATCATGATAAGGAGGATAATGCATACAAGAGAGTTGTAGTCAATGAGAAGATATGTTTTTGTTATTTGGTTGGAATTTAAACCATGTGAAGATTACTAATCTTGCAAGCTATTTTTCCACTGAAGTTTAAAAAAATTGAATTTCTTCTGCTTTCAGAGATCACATGAACATTTTTAAACCAGTTGAGTAATAGCAGATGTCTTCACTGTTCATTTTGGGAGGCATTTGATGTTCATAATCAACATTTTGGAACTATGTTCAAAGCTGCCATCTTGTGGTAGTATTCTATTCAATTTTTAGCTGATATGTTGATAAAAGTCTTGCTAAACATGAATCCTAGGAGGAAACAACATTGCAGAAATACATTTTAGGACATATCAGAAGCCTACATAAAAAAGAACATGAGCGTATTTCCACATATAATTTCCTTAATCAAATTGATTAATACTAGTTTTACTCATTTTGCAAAGTTTCTGTTTAAAAGTCATGACAGATTTTATTAATTGTCCCTTCTTTCCCTCTTTCCAAAATTAAAAGTCTAAAGATTCCTATTTTATAGAAGAGAAAATTAAGAAAAAAGGGTAAAAACTGCACGTTCTAGTGGTGATAGAGAAAAAGTAGAAAGAGACTGAACCCTTGAAGGCATTACCATGCTACCTTACCTACCGTGGACTTTCTCACTTTCAAACTTTCCTAGTTTGTGAGAAAATAATGTATCTCCAATAGAGTACATTGGTTTTGTTGTTCACTCTCATTTGAAACTCAGCTCAAATGAGAGTGAACGACACTCAGTATGTTGGGAACCGCCCTGACTGGTATCAGAGGCTGAAACCCCCGCCTAGGCTAAAGCTAAGGGAATGCCCTTGGAACCGTGAGCCAGCAAGGAGACAAAAGCTTGTCTTCCTGGCAGGAATGCTGCTTCTGCTGCTTTATTCATAACTGAACCCCCAAAAAGCTTGGTCGGTTAGCCAAAGACGGGTAAGATTCCCCACGGGGGGAACGACCTAAGACAGGCACGATCACTTTGGGAGGCCCCCCAAAAGAAGGACTTGGGGGGCTGCAGCAAAAGGGGGTGATGGACCCTCGCTCCTCCGCTCTGACATAGCCTGAGTTCTCAGCGTCTGGGAGAAAACTTCCTTGTCTCCCAGTTGCCTTAGTTCCCTTGCTCCACCTAAGCCTGAAACAATGACAGGGTGGTGCAGCTCGGTACTGAGAAGTGCGGATTCCCCAGGGTGATCAGGCCTAAGAAAGAACATGTAAATTACTGTGAAACCTCCTTTGTTTAGAATGCTCTCAGTTGAATGAGAAGGGTCTTAGGAGGAAGTTATTTTGTTCCTCAGTCTTACAGCTCTTTGACCCCCCAACTCAATAGACTGGCAGAGTTCTTTGTTTTCTATAGTTCCTTACTTCCCCCTAATGAGTACTGTACTTTACCTGAATTATTATGCAAAATGAGCCTAATAAAAGCAGGTATGGATGGTAAATCAGCGTGCTCCTCACTAGAAGGGGTGGCCATTTCGTCCCTACTTCTCCACAGAAACTAGTTTGTCTCTGTGCATGTTTTTTCTCGCGTGTTTATCGTCGAGCCATCCACAGCGTTCCGTGGTCACTGCTGGCCGGTGACCCACGCGCAACACAGCTCTGGGAGGCTGGGAGCATTCTGAGACATGTTTATCTGTGTGACATTATATCAGGTTTTCTTAATCTCAACACTGACATTTTGGGTTGGGTTATTTTTAAAGTGGGGGTGGACTGTTTAGTGCATTGTAAGATTTTTAGCAGCAGCCCTGGCCTCTGCCCACTTAGATGCCTGTAGCAGCCCCATGTTCTGGATTCTCCTAGGTATGAATTATCCTCCACCCGAGAACCAGCTTGTTAGATGGTGGGGTTCAGTACTCAGGATCAATGGTCAACAGATATTGACTATACTGCCAAAATGGTTAATTGGATGTGAACATTGAGAGAGACGGTAAATTCAAAGGTCACTCCCAAGTTTTTTTCTTGGGCTAGTAATTGTATCATTGTGCCACTTAAAATATAAAGAAGAATGCTCCAATTTATCAACAATCCCCTTAAACTTTGGCCTTAACGTTGAACAAGTACTCCACATGTGACTTGAACACTACAGATTTTTGTTTCTGTATTAATGAAACACAATACATTAGCATTTGCTTTGTCTTTTCCCCTCTTTATCAGTCTCATAGCAGTTTCCCCCATTATTGGTCTCATTTCAATTGGTCTCATTGGTTTATATTGAACTTGAAATCCACTGCAATCTCCTGGTTATTTTGTAAAGAAACCTGTTAATTCCTGTTTTCCTCTACCCTTTAACTTTGCAGTTGTGATTTTGAAGTCTAAGTTTTTGCGTTTTCTTTTTAAACTTCCTTTTCTTCATATCAGACTCTCTTTTTAATATATCATTAACTTTTTTTCTGTTTCACATTAGCTCTCTCTGTCCAAATTGATGTCCCATTGGTTCATTTTGATAAAAATTTTGACTAGGAAATGGCAAAGGGCAAAATAAACATTATTGGATATTCATGGAGTTAGCTCAGAAAAAATGCCTCATAACCAAATCTTGGAACAGTTACTTTAATAACCCAAATCTTCTTTTTTCCCTGGATCCATTTTAAAAGATTACAGGGAACTGTAAATGAGCACTATCTCTGAAATTTTCTTCTAGGAATGGAAGACAAAATAAAACTTCAGAAGGACACAAAAATAGTAACTTTTCATATTTGCTTGTACAGGAAGGGGCATTCAGGCATTTTTTACTCACTGTTTAGACTATTAGGCTTAGCTCAGTTTGTGCCATTGGCATGCACTGGATGCTTATGGGATAGGAAAGAAAGGGTTTAAGTGATGTGGAATGTGCTTTCCAGTGAGCACTTGATAACTTCATTTACTATGTTTTGTAAAAAAACTGGAGGACTGAGAACACTGGGAAATATCCAAGATTGCAAGTGGGTTTTATTTGCAATGAATAATTTAGCATATTATGGAAAAAGTAATGGTTGTATGATCAAGACAAGTCATAAGAACTTACTGAACTGCAAAATACTGAAAGAAGGCCTTCAATGAAAAAAAATATAAAGAAACACATTTAGGAAGAAATTATCTAAGCTACATTTATAAGATAATGGGTGACGCTTTCTCTCATAGTTAGGACTTCTTAGAATTCATGTTCATGTTTTGAGACAGGTCCTCCTTCACTCTTGAGCTATTAAGTATTAATGAGTCTCTTAGCCTTTACTCTTACCATTAATCAACACTATTTACAAATATCACCACCATTCTCTTGATAAAATACACTTTAATTGTAACTCACCACTATGCCCTCTTACCTACAAAATGAATTCTGAATTTCGTAGGGTTGCATATTAGACACTGATTTTATTCCTAATTTAACTTTCTCCACTCCTGCATAAAAATTGTGCTCTAAGCACACTGACCTACTTTATATTTTTGAATATTCTATGCTCTTTCAAACTTCTGTGACTTTGCTGATGCCATCGGTCCTGCACGGAATGCCCTTCTCCAATCTTATGTTTGGTGAATCCAATGGCATTCTTTGAGGTCCAAGTCAAATGTGATGTTCTCAATTTTACACTTCTGACTTTCCCTTCCCCAAGTCACCATGACCTTGAACTGTGTTTGAAATTTAGTATGTATTTAATAAATGTTTATGAAATGAGTAATTAGTAATTTACTTCAATCCACTCCAAAAATTTGAAATGAGGGACTTAGTTTTATAGATGTTTGTATAAAAAAATCTTACATTATATAATAATTTATCTGAAAAGCTATGAGTATGTAAGTTAAAATATATTCAAATAGAATAAATTGAGAAATGCTATTTGAAAGTCAAAAAATGTTTTTGCTATATGTATTCTATTTCATTAACACATTTTATCTATCTTGTATACATAGCCTTAAGATTGCTTAGTATTGGGAAAACCAGTAACCAATCAGTTATATATAAGTTTAATCTTGCTTTGTTTATTCAGTTGGGAATATCAGACAAGCCATTTTCTATAGTGTATGGTTACTATTGTTATTCTTTTTTTAAAACTAATTTGAAATTTTTGTTTACTTTGATTAGCCTATAGAGTTCTTTATTAGGAGTATGGTTTCAGTAGCAGAAGATCAAAAGAGAGAAAAATATTTTATGATAAAAGAAAAACAATGACATTCTTGTAGAATTGCATAAAAAAGAGGATGAATGAAATAATATTTTAATACTTTATTTGAAAATACATAAGTCTGATAGGTGATGGGAGAAAGCTACTTGAATTAAATACAATTAACTGAATGCTAGTTGTAGGGCACTTTGATGTACATTCTGCACCTTTATGCCTTCCTGTGGATCTCTAAGATACTAGCTGAGGAACTAGGGAGGTGTAACCTGGGGGTGGGTAGTTCCTTTGTCAGTGATTGAGAGGAAGGAGAACACAATGGAAACAGGCAGTATTGATGATCTCTTAAACAGAGTGAGGCTTTTATCTCTCTAAAGTGTGACAAAGATTATGATTTTGCTGTGGTCTTGAACCTTAGACTATGTAATGTATGCTGATACCCAAAGGGGAAGACCAGTTTGAAGAAGTTAATTAAGATCCCATTTATAATTTCACATAAATTATTTTAACTAATAAATCTGGCTTCCTTTATTATCTGTTGGCCAATGTCAATGAATGGAAATGTGTTTACATCTTAACATTGTAGGAATGCCTAATTGTGTACTTTAATCAGGGATTTTCTATCAGTAATAATTTTTCTTTACACATAAGCAAAGCAAAAGCAGCTTATTTACATTGTCATATAAGTGGTCATTAAAACATGTGAAATATCTTGATACTTTCTTCTCAAATACCATGGAGTTGGGGCAACCAGCAATTTAAATAAAGCCTATTGAAAAGGTTGCAACTCTTCCCAGCTCTGGAAAGTAACATCTGGAGCTTTAATTCCGACATGTGCATACACATAACGAAGAAAGTAATAAAATGAAAGAAAACAGTTAGTAATTCAACCTATTATTTTCAACCAGGTTTTTTTTCTTTTTTGTAATACCAATGTATAAGGGATTGAGACCTATAGTCTACCTGTGGTTTATAGTTAGACCATAGACTGATTAGGATTATGAATTTTTTCATATTCTTCAGCGTAGTGTCGATACTGGTCGGTGAGGAGAGGTTGATTTGTTTCATCCATCTTGCTCCTGGCACGGATCAGACAAGTAGCACCCACAAAAATGACTGCAACCAGTAGTAAAGCAGCAATTACTGCTATGGTAATAATCTCAGAAATACTAAAATCCCGACCTATTTGAAAAATAAAATGAGAGCAAGAAATAAATCTTATAATAGTTGCCATCAACAAGTGAATACCCTAAATTTAGTCACTTTACAGAAATCATCATACTTAATTTTTATTGGTCACATTGCCTATCATAGATAGCCCTTGTCATCCTGAAGGCACTTTCTTTTTTTTTTTTTTAAGATTTTATTTATTTATTTTTAGAGAGGGAAGGGAGGGAGGGAGGGAGAGAGAGACAGACAGACAGACAGACAGACAGACAGACATCAATGTGTGGTGGCTGGGGGTTATGGCCTGCAACCCAGGAATGTACCCTGGCTGGGAATCGAACCTGGGACACTTTAGTTCCCAGCCCACACTCAATCCACTGAGCTACGCCAGCCAGGGCAACTTTCTAATTTCTCATAATGAGTAGACTCTGTTGGGATAGTTATCATTTTCATTCTAAATGTGAGAAAATGAGGCCTCAGGGTCTAAGTCACTGGCCCAAAGTCGTTTGGTTAGTGGGTAGTAGAGTGGGTTTGGAGTCCAGGTCTTTCAGGATCCAAATCCTGTGCCCTTCTACTATACCCTACTGCCTTTCTTGAGAAAGAAATTAAAAATAAATGAAAGAGTTTTGAATTTCAAAATATCACAAAAAGCAGCTCAGAGTATCTCATGCCATTATTTTATTTCTTTTATTTAAGATAGATAAATGGAGGCATATTATACTGTAGAAAATTTAGGGGCCTAAGCTCCAAACTCATTTTGTCTTACTAAAAATATGAGCTTTGACCGTTACTGTTTTGAAGCCTTGTCTTCCTTGTTTGTAAATTCAGGATTATAATACTTATCACAGAGGGACATAAGAATTAAATGAGATAGTGTGCTATATAATCAGCTCAATACAAGGTCAGAGTGGGCTCACAACAAATGTTAAATTTACTCCCTTTATCCCCAAATAAAAATCCAAACGAAAGTTTGTAAATGCAAGTGGAAAAATGTAAGCTTCAGAAATCCTGTGATTATTTAACTTTAAAGGTAACAAATTTGCTTTTGAAAATTTCCACAGTACAAATAAATTTTCAGTACTCACGTGGCCATTGAATTTCATAGGTGTACCCCAGGTTGTCAGGAGCAGTAACAAACATTTCTGTGTTGGTAACGGGAGGCCAAAACGGTACCATGTTGTATTGTCTATTATGTCCAATAGGGGCATTTCTCATTGGAAATGTGGATATATCTAAAATATGCCAAAAACACATTTTTAATATCAATATATTATTATGTTCTGAAGTTGCCTTGAAATATCCAAAGATAACATTAAAAGCATTCTTTTATATTTTACACTGAATAAAGACATAAGCAAAAAAAGATTTCAAATGCTTTGAGTACAACACTAACATATCCAATAGAAAAAGAACATTCAAAAGCAGGAATGTTTTAGTATTTTATTATATTTGATGATCAGTAATTGTTTTACTTTTAAATTATAGGAACTAATTTGAATACAATTAATTGAACTTATATTTCAAAACTAAAGAAAGGATTGATCTACAGTTTGCTGTAGCATCATCTATAATTTGAATTTGAGAGATAATTTCTAATGGAGGGTTCTCCTTGACTGAGAATATGTGTCTCTGCTATTTTTAATTTTTTTCTGTTTACTTTTAGAGAAACTCATTCCTCAGGTTTTACTCTGTTAGCAAAAAAACCCACAAGCTTTTTAATCAAGGTCCTGGAATCCTCCTATTTGCTCCTGTTACCTCTCCTGTTTCTATAGCAGTTTATTTCCTGTCCATGGTTTTGCTGTCCACAGTTTCAGTTACCCACCATCAACTGTGGTCTGAAAATATTAAATGGAATATTCCAGAAATAAAAATTATAAGTTTTAAATTTTGCTCAGTTCTGAGTAGCGTGATGAAATCTTTACCCTCCTGCTTTGTCCTACCGGGAAGTGGATCATCCCTTTGTCCAGCACATCCACTTTGTACAGGCTCCCTGCTCTTTAGTCCCTCAGTAGACCTCTCAGTTAGCAGGTTGCCATCATGGGAATGTGCTGCTGAGTTCACATGGCACTTATTTTCTTAGTAATTGTCCCAAAGCCATTCATGTAACTTTTATTAAAGTATATTGTTAGACTTGTTCTATGTTATTACCAGTTATTATTGTGACTCTATTACTGTGTGTAATTAATAAATTAAACTTTACTTTAGGTAAGTACCCATAGGAAAAAACATTGTGCATACAGTTATAGGGTTCAGTACTATCCCCAGTTTCAGGCATCCACTGGGGGTCTTGGAACATGTCCCCCTGGATAAGGGGAGGTTGATTCCATTTAAATACTAATCACAGGTATTTATATCATTAGTGAGTTTTTGTCATCAGGTATGAAAGTACTGAAATGTCATTTGTGGCAAAAAGTGTTTTTTGTTGTTGTTGTTCTATATGTTGATACAATTAAATAAAAAATGCATTGTTAAAAACTCAGTTTGGAAGTGGGCTTGGGTACTGCATTTAGTGGACATATGTTTAGAATGGCTGGAATGTGTGAGAAAGCTAAGGAAGTATCAGATTTCATTTGTAAGAAGTATGTTACCTGGACAGTTAGAAGTGTGTTCCCTTGAAGCACATAAGAGTATTTTAGAATCTAGTTTGAAGAACAATTGATCATAGGAATGGCAGGCATTGTTTATATATTTGTCACTTCAAACTTACTGTGTATTAATGCTAATTAAGTATTTATTTATTAACACCCATTGAGCTCCTGGTCTAGGCATGGGGCTATAGTATTGAACAAAACAGACAAAGTTCTGTTTTCAAGGAACTCACAATTTGCTGTATTACTGTTAGTTATTTATTAAAAGTAGATATTAAAGTTAATAACTTAGTTTTTCAAACTTCCTGTTTCATCTTTACTGAATCCTGAATGGATCAGCCTCAACTCTGTTCAGCTTCATCTGTATGATAAAGTTATATCCATTAAAAAGAATGGAGAAATAATAGTAAAAATAACAAACAATAGCAATTGAATTAGAATGTAACCTTTCTATGTAAGACCCTTCAGTGGCTCCCTTTCTCTCTTAGTGTTAAATGCATGTGTTACCCCTCTCACCTTATCATCTCCCTCTGTTCTCTCCCCACTCTCCACTCTGCTTCAGCCTCCGTGGGCTCCTTTGTTCCTTTGTCTTGGGAGGGTTTTCCATGTATTTACACAGTACTCCCTATGCTCTTGTCTTATTTTATTTACCACCTAATATACTGTTTATTTATTTACATATATTTATTGCCATTTGTACCAATAGATAAGGACAAAGGTTCCAGGGCGAAGATTTTTTGTGTGTGTTTTCTATGTTATTGTATTTCCAACACCTAGAATACTGGCTAGGAAAGAATAGGTATGCATGTCTATGGTATACACAAACTCAGAGGAAAATAAGAAACTGGCTGAGTTGGATAGATACATGAATAGATAGTTAATCTCAAAGATTGTGTTTAGATGCATGATGAAGTAAAGGCACAGGAGCCAAAATTAAGAACACTTTTAAGATATAAAAATGCATGGTGTTTTAACCAGAGAAGTGACCTTCTTTGTTTGAAAAGTAATGCAGACTCAGACACACACACAGTGCAAGGTGAGCCTCTCAGCTGAGAAGTGAAGAGAAGGTAGCCTTGTGAATAATATTTTAAAGAATACATTAAAATAAACTTAACAGATTTTCTATGGTGTGATATGAAAACCAACACTAACTTCTCAAGTTGAGCAAAATTTTCATTTGTGAGAGTTCATGAAGTAACAAAGCCAAAACTGCAGTTTATGATTATAATTTTTTTTTTTGTCTTTTGGGGTATTGAAGAAGAGCTGTGTAAGTTTTTCCCATTCATATTAAAAATCATTAATTAAAAAAGTCAACAAGAATGTTCATTACAAGATATGAAGAAGATGAATTTGGGAAACTGAAAATGAGAAGAGATTACCTGCTTAGTTCTATTGAATGCTAATAAATATAATCTTAAATAACAATTCTGAGAGATATCTGCATTTCAAGGTGGCTGGGAATATTTGGAAATGGCTAGACATTATAGCTATTTGATCCTTATTTTGAAGTGTAGCCTAAGTGTGTCAAGTGCTTAGCTTAAAGTGATAACTCTGCCATCTGAACAGTCTTTCTTTTGCTGAGCCTGCAAAAAGCATATGAAAATGTCTCACCAGCATTGTATCTCCTCAGCCATTCATCAAAGACTGCATCAGTGAAAGTATGCAGGAGAACAAATATAGGATCATTCGGAGATAAATGGGTTTGTCCCCCTGTTCCATTCAGGAATAGATGGGCCAAATTGTGAAGGCTTCGAACAGCAGGGTCATACCTTCCTGTGGGGTCACTGTAACCTAGATATAAAAATAAATGAAAATATTAAAAATCATTACAACTATATTTTGCAAGTGAACAGCAGTGACTATACTGAGGAACAATTTTCCTACGCTTGTCAGGACAGTAGTTACCTTAGTATCATAGCACTGTTTCTCTATACCTATGGTTGGCGATGTTTGTTTGCTATACCCAGAGCTGGGTTAGTTTTAAGCCAGTGGTATAGCATTCTACATGTAGCCTCCAGGTTAAAAATAATGACCTGCAGGGCCCTGGCTGGCGTAGCTCAGTGGATTGAATGCAGGCTCCGAACCAAAGTGTCGCAGGTTCGATTCCCAGTCAGGGTACATGCCTGGGTTGCAGGCCACGACCCCCAGCAACTGCACATTGATGTTTCTCTCTCTTTCTTCCTCCCTTCCCTCTCTAAAAACAAATAAATAAAAAATCTTAAAAAAATAATGACCTGCAAAGGATATCAGTCAAACTGTATAGACTACTCTATTTCAACAAGGCAATCATTGTTCCATCTGAGAGTAGAAATCTCCAGCTTCTCTACTAAAAACTGCTGACATGATGGGAGACCATTCCAATTGTCCTGGAACTCACATCACCAGCTGCTACTTCAGTTTCCTATATTCTTCCCTTCAAAAGACTATCAGCATGTTTATTTCTGGAAAGTTATTTTTATGGAGAAGTTTTAATTTCTCAGAGCTTTCTTAACACCTCTGTGCTACTTTTTAACATCTGGAAAGCTTGCTGTCAAAACATTTATAGAACTTTTGATATACATATTTCCATATTATATATACTGTGTATATGTATTTCACAAATATCATATATCCCCACATTATATACAGGGTCCAGCAGAAGTAAGACCTGCTTGAGTGTGGTTGGTAGGGTAATAATATGAGTGTAATAACATAGTTTTAATTTGAACATTTCACCTAAAACGTCATATGTTGTACCCACGTGTGATATTGTTACATTGCAAAGTTACATGTTCATGATTTTGTAGTAAAAGATTTTCTAATAAAAAGAGGCATTATTTGTGCCAGACCCTGTATAACATGCATATATTATATGGCTCACATTGCTGTGTGTATCCCATATTATATGTATCACATGCATATATACATTAGAGAGGTGAGAGTAGACCACAAACAGAAATAAGGGTCTGTGATGTGGGATGGAGGTGTAGGTGTGTCTGTTCAGCTTGAAGGGCCAGAGGGGGGAGATCAGAGAAAGGTTATTAAAATTAGAATTTGAAATATCTTGTGTAATTATACTCATTTATTCATTTTCATACATGTGTTCCATTATTTTTTGACTAAAAAAATTTAAGGATTGCCTATAATGTACATGGCCCGTGGGTAGGCACTGGTCTTTTTATATATCTGTTGAGAAATCAGTATATTTTTTCTCTTAATTAGGCATCAATAAAACAAAATCTGCACATTCTAATACAAATCTGTACTTACAACCTCAGTTTATATACACAAATTTAGTCAAAATATAGTGAATATTTATTGAATTTATTTCCAAATAAGTGGTTCATATATAGTTATTAAAAATTAACATAAAGAGAAAATAATGGCATATAATTTTGATAATAAAAGGGAAGAGAATTAAAAATAATTATCAGATTTATACATCAAATATCCTAGATAATGGGGACAGAGAGATCAATTCTCAGTTTTTTGCATGAATATAGGGAAGGTCTAACATATGCAATGCTATATTTAAGGTAAATTTTGACAATAAGTTATAACAAAATTAAAAGTTTTTCTGTTCCTTTAAAACTTTATGTATCAAGCATGATTTAGAGGTTTCACTATCTAATGTATACAGACACTAAACTTAGAAAATTTGTCTTTGAATGTGTGCTGTGTCCCTAACTAGCTGAATATCTTGGGAAATTAATTGCATTTATTTGGACCTCAGTTTCCTTAGCTTTAAAGAACTTGGAGTTAAATAAAGAAAACCAAGGTGAATATCACTAGATGTTAGATTGAATTTTTATGGACCTTAAAAAAAGTTACAGGATGATACAGATCTAAATAAACATATGCCCAAACAAGACTTTATTGAATATCAGTGAATTATTCAGATTTTTAATTGATTTTTAAAAATCTAATAAGCTCTTAAAGTATCAAATGTTATTTGTTTATATTAGAATTTGATCATTATACATATAATGGCCACCCATCTACCAGAAATTTGAGTTTAAATACTTTTTAATTATTTAAGAGGTTGGAGAATACCATATTTTGCCATTTATAATGTGCTCCTATGTATAATGTACACCCACATTTTTGGCCAAAACTTTCAGGAAAAAAATCTTTCATTTTAATTTTTAAATTCAATTATTTATTTATATTTAGAAACAAAACCAATGATGATATTTCAGCCTATTATTTTGCATACAAGTATTGCTATTGCTTTCTAGGATTACACTCTTAACACATAAGCATAAATACAAGTATTTAAAAAATTTATATAGATATGGAATTAGTACTACCCACGTATAATGCACATTCTTATTTTTCCTTCAAAAATTTGGTGAAAAAAAGTGCACATTATACATGGCAAAATACAGTATTTTACAAGAGCTTCTGTTATGATTGAGAGGGTTTTGTGGTCTGACACTTTTCTTTGAGGAAATTCTTGTCTTAGTGGACAGCTGTGTCTCCACTATAATTAGGCAGCACCATACAGGTAAACTGATTGGATCAATATGGCATTTAATGATTTTTTCAAAGAGATCTGAATTTGAGTACTTCAATTTTCTGTGATAACTACTTCAATTCAAACCACCGATTTTGTTTACTTACCTTCCACTGTGTTTCGGAAACTGTTTGTAGAATTGGAATAAAAAGGAGGTGTGTCAAATGCAGCAACTTCCAAGCACTGAACCACATCCTGTGGTTTAGGAAGACGCTGCACCATTGGTCTAGCCACGTTTCCAGCTGGATTTCTCCTAATTGGCCCGCCTTCCGTGCCTGGAAAAATGATGGGGTATGCAAACAGTTACAGAGTCTTTAGAGATCTTATTATTGCCCTTAACAATGTTATGTATTGCATAGACACTGAATGATAGGAGGTTCTTGGTAGAAGAGAACATTTTTTAAAAAATGCTTTTTAGTGGCAGTAAAGTGAGAAAATCTAAGTTATCATGTCAATTTCCCTGATAAGAGTAGATATGTGATACATAAAATCCTCTGAAGGAAGAAGTGATTACAATAAGTGATAGAGGTCTGGGTCTTTGTTAAATCAACATAGGCTTTTTTCACAAGAACGTATTAAAATGAACATTCCATGGAAAACTGAATTTTGTCAAAATAATCTCATAAACCTAAATTCCACACTGAAATCTATATTTCATACATATATGGAGTTTTGTATTTGAATGCTGTCTATTTCAGGCCTTCAGAAAAATAAAGAAAAACAATCTTCAATTTCAATCGACACATTTTCCCCCCATGTATGGGGAAATAATTAAGTTTTTGAAGGGCAGTAAGACTAACAGGTAAACAGTGATGCTGGCAATAATGTGACAGTAAGACAGAGGGAGGGAGATACCTTTCCCAGTTGGGCAGATCCAGAGAGTGCCTTGAAGGACTGAGGAGAATTTCCACATGTGAAATAGGAGGTATTTTAGGCAGAGGTAGGAACAAGAGCTGATAAGCCCTCTTCTATCTATAATATAAGCCCCATCAAAGCAAGAACTCTGTCTGTTCTTCCTTCTGCCCTATCAGACACAACATGTTCACTAGAATGTTAGTTCCCTTTTTCCTTTCACTGTCCTAATGAATATTAAGTTTGGTATTTATATCTTGAACTAAGGCAAGGGGTAATCATATGTTTTGGTGCAGTGCCTGGTGCATAATTGTTGCTAAGTAGTTGTTTGGTGCATGTTGTTAAGTGGGATAGTGGGCCTGTTTGGAAGCTAGCTCTCCTGGGCTGTGTGGCATTGTCAGAGAGTATTGCACGGTGGAAAGATGGGAAACTGGACCAGAACCATAATGTGAAGAGACCAAAAGGCAAGATGGGAAAGTTATGTATAATTCAGAAAGTGGGAAGGAGCTCTAGGTGGTGGGAGGAGAGGAATTTGGTTAGGAGCATTTTGCATCAGTCTGTCTCACTGGTCTCCAGAGAGGAGTGTTCATGCCTTAGGGGGGGAGATAACATTTCCACACCTCATTTTCATTTTGCCTCATTCATAAATGTCCTCATTGTATGCTTTGTAACTAACATAATGATTAGTACCTGATGAATTAGCATAGCTAACTTTATATAATATAAAGATAAAACTTGCCTATATTGAAACTGGAAAGTACATGTGCATTTTTTAGGGACACATTATCATTAAAACTTTCAGATTGTACTAGCTAAACTCAGTTCAAGCTCATAGTTTGGAGATTACTGGTCAGGGAAGTGTCAAGGCATCCCAAGAATATAGTATTGACTACATAGGCTTCAAAAACCTTATAACTTAATTTTCCCTCATGGAGTTTCATAGTGCAGAATTTTGATAGAAATAAAACTAGTTAAGCCAATTTAATTTTAACCTAGCGATTTTTAAAATGTGTACATGAACAACTTCTGCCATTGTACCTAGTTTATATTTTTAAATTTAAAACAATTTTTAATTACAGTTGACAATCAGCACTATACTAGTTTCAGGTGCATAGCACAGTGGTTAGACTTTTACAGGACTCACACTGCAGGGGTGTCCAACCTGTGGCCTATGGGCTTCACGCGGCCCAGGATGGCTGTGAATGTGGCCCAACACAAAATTGTAAATTTACTTAAAACATTATGAGATGTTTTTGTGATTGCGTGTTGCAATGTATTTAATGTGTGGCCCAAGACAACTCTTGTTCTTCCAGTGTGCCCCAGAGACTCCAAAAGTTTGGACACCCCTGATTTACAGAGTGATCTTCCCGTTAAGTCTCATGCCCATCTGACACCATATGTAGTTATGGCAATGTGATTGGCTGTATTTCTTATGTTGTACTTTACACCGCCTTTCCATCACAACTACTAACATCCTATGGATTAGAGTCCTGTAGTATTTCTATGCAGGAATGAATAAAAAGTTCTGAGTTCTGAAGGAGAAAGTAAATTTGAGAAGTATTGTGAAGAAGGAACAAAGTTTTTCATCTAATGAATCAAAGAATGTATATTAGTTGCTGAAAGAATGTTAGGGATCAGCAATTCACTCCTTTAGTGTACATATCAGGTTTGGTGTATTAATGGAATATTGGAGGGATACCGTGCAAGAAGAATATGAAAACATAGGCATGGAAAATATAAGGGCAGTTTGACTTGAGGATGTACATGCACGGGTTTCCTGTAAAAGATGATTTGTGAAACTACAGGCCTGGAAATTTCATTGAGGAAAAAAGGCAGAAGGAGGCAAGACTTGCTATGAGAATCAAATAAGATGTACACAAGCATTTAACACCATATCAGACACAATGCATTCACTAAAATGTTAGTTTCCTTTTTTTCTTTCACTGGCCTAATAAAGTTTGGTATTTATATCTTGAACTAAGGCAAGGGGTAATCATAAATTTTGTTTTATCTAAAATACATTCAAATTTTCAGGAAACTGTGTCAGAGTTATATGTTACAGTAAGTGACAAGAAAAATGATGATAAAAATATCCTCCTATGCTGTAACTTCATTTATGCATTTAAATTGTGCTGTATGTTGTTATTCAGTCAACAGGGCGATTGGAAAATGTCTGGAAAACTTACAGGACAAAATGTAATAGCCTGGTCAGAGAGAGATGAATGTTTTGGTATCTACAGAGATCTTGACCCTCAATTTCATTTCCCTACCACAAGGTACAACCACTTATTAGTTACGCCAAAAAATATACACATGTAATTCTAATTGTTAAGCTTCTGTGGAAGAAAATTTCATACATACCATTTCTCTTGTTCTTAAACACAGCTAAATAATCTTCTAATGAGGAAAATCACCTAATTTCTTTGTTCCATTTAGAATATTTTCTCTTTAGGTTTAGAAAATAATTTAATAATTGATGTTTTAAAGAATACATGCAGAATAAATCTTATGAATATATAATAGAATAAATTTCCATAATTCTAGTTTTTATGTGGAAGAACAAAAGTTAAAAATAGCCAGACATGCCTACTGAGGAAAAACAAGATGGGGCAGGGAGGCTCTAATAATTAAGCACAGGGAAGGATGATAACGTGGTCTGAGGAGGACGACAGAAAGCTCAGGACCAGATCCACACATGACAGAAACAGCTCATGGCAGATGTGGTTTGCAGAGCCCTGGAAGAAAGCCTCTGGATGCTAGGACAACTGTTAAATATTCTGTTTTTCACCTTTTGATTTTTAAGCCTATGGCTAGATTAACATCACAATAACATATCATGACAATATGATTATTACCATAAATATATTATTATACATTATTTTTTACATGTAGGGCACTTTCAAGTCTTTCTGCATGTTTCATATCTCCTAGGGAAACATTTTTTGTGAAATGCCAGCACAAGACACATGATCACTAAACAGGGCTGACTGTACTAAGATGATTAATTTATACAATGAGACCTTTCCAAAGTAAGGAAGTGAGCAACTCACCAAATTGCTCAAGAAGGGCAATGTAAAAATGTTCAGACACGTATCCTCCCACACTGGTGTACCTTATAGATTGCCTTGAATATCTTAGTTGTTCCATAAATATCTGTACATTGATTCTCTGTATAAAAGTAGATTTTAGACTGAAGTCCTTGGTAGAATGAAGAGCCTTCAGACGGCACATTTCTCTATCTAACAGGGAATTCTGAATCCTAGATGTCATTTGGAACTTACTGTTGCAAAGGGTTCCTAGGGTATCATAATCATCCAAGGATTCACAGACCATTTGCCATTGAGAAAAGACCGAGTTCGGGCTTATCAGAGTGGAATCAAAGTTGCTTCTCGATCCCATCAAGTCATCGGTGCAGACGTCACAGACGTTTCTTCCAGTTGCAAAATTCCAGTAAGGAAGGGAGAAGGAAGGATTCTGCAACATTTCCTAGATCACAGAAACTCTGTTACCATTTCTCAGCTTTTGTTTAAACCTCTCCCCCCCCCCCTCACCCCTTTGCTTGCTTACTCCCTGGCAGTCTATTTCTGTTAGTTCTTTTCAGCCACTTCGGAACCAGTCCGTGTGTCAGTGGATTCTGAGGGATTGGAGGGCTTAATTCCATTATTAACAAAGTTCTAATTTATTGCACTACCTACGAGGAGCAACTTCAGGCACAAGAGGGATTAAACTCAACTCATTGTAATACAGACATGTATAATGTCTGCAAATGCCTTTTTTAGGGGGCAGGGGAAAGACTGCCTTTTCTTTTTTAGACAGGTAATTATATTTCTATTGATTATATACTAAAACGTATCAATAACAACCTCTACTCCCTGACATTCCCCGCTCCTTCCACTTCCCTGTCTCTAATTCAGGCACTGCTAACTCTGGGTCTGGAGCCAGGTCCAGCCTTGAAATAGGTTATGAGGAGCAGTACTTTTGGTTTTGTTTCTGTTTATTAGTTTAACTGGAATGTGTGTAGGCATTTAGATTCTGGTTGGGTCACAGGCTACACAAGCTCTCTACTCAAACTTACGTTATCTGCCTGGGCACTAAAGATGTTTTACTTAGGGACCCCTGCTTCAGAATCTAAACTAGGAAGACTCAGGCTTCTGCCTGAAACTCACACTTACAGAAAAAGCAAAAGAGAAGCAGGGTATCTTCTTGTGCATACTGCTCTTTAGAACAGAAATCCGGTTTCTATTTGGAGCTGATCTCAACAATTTTAAAAATGCTGGGCTCAAGATCACATGGGTGCTTTTCATTGGATTCCTTAAAAACACACATTTATTGTACTTGTTGTTTCTCATTCCTTCTGGTCTCATTCCTTCTGGTCTTTGGGGAGTTATATTTGAAGTGTTGGATTTAAATGTAGGTATTGTTTTCATTGCACCTTGCCTGCATTTGGCGCATTACTACTTTTCCTCTTTACCCTGTCTAGGAAGCGTTTCCTTGTCTTTGGTTTTTTAGACGGCCAAAAGTGCTCCAAGGCGTCTCCAGTTATTGATCTCCAGGGATTCAGAGTCCTCATTTAGAAGCTATTGTTCTGGTTCACAAATATTAGTGACAGCTTCCAAGGGATTATTAAGAGTCAGTTTGTGGTTCGGCAACTGACATTTGGGAGCTGGAGCATATTCATGTGGCATTTTCAACAATACATTACATATAGATTGTAATTTGCTGGATCCCTTGTTCTGGGTTTTAAAAATGTAAGTAGTGAGAGGCTGAAGTTTACACAGGCAAAACTGAAACTTTTAGATACTTCCCATCTGCCCTTTCACTTTGGTGTGCTCATGGGAAAATGACTTGAAGGTATGAAGATCTGGAGTCCATTACAAATGACAGATTTATCTACTAATAATCTACTAAATGTCTTCCTTGTAATCAGAGCTATAAAATAAGAAGTGCCGAGAATCAGATGAATTCATTTAATCACTGTCAAACTGCGAATGGATAGACTACTTTCATACAAATATTTTATTCTGTACTTTAGTTCATTCTCTCTCTTCTAGCCATTTATTTTCTTTGAATCATGCTGGGCACAAGCATACTACAAATTGATAAATGAACACCTTTCTGCCTTCAGATTATTTTTAGGTTAAGTTTTAGACTTTAACTTGCAGGGAGGGATTCATTACTATTATTTTACGTAGAAAACTGGTTTAATTTGTGGGTTTCCTAGATCTAATAATTTAGTGAGATCTCATCATTTAAAATTTAATTTTAAAATTATAATACTTTCTTAAGAAACAGCTATTAGTAAAAGAAACAATAATGATGTATCTTTGTTAACAGATAATTTAATGTGTTTAGAGTTTATCTGCTTAAAAATAAGCAGGAAATAACTGTGTTTGGGTTAAAGTTTACTTTGTACCAATGCTTCTTAAGTAAAAATGGTATGCAATTGATGGGATGTTTCAAAATAGTCCTTTTGTAAGCCTCAAAGTGGTTAAGGGGCATGAAAAAAATGGTATTCAATGAAAATATTACAATGTAAATGGAAAGGGACCTTTTATATCACTTACACCCTATATATCATATTAGGATTGTCCACTGGTATATTGAGTTACATATTTGGGACTTGGAAGACTGACAAGTTCATATACGCTTGTTTCATCCAAACCAGTAAGGGGCATTGATTTCCATTTTAGAAAAAAGCCGTATTAAATGAGATTCTTTTGTTGCAAACTCTGTGACTCGTTGTAATTGAAGAGCAGTAGAACATATTCAGTGCTTTCATTTACACTACAAATGTCTCATCTGGCTTCCTCATTATTGAGATGACTTTCTTTTCACTTCAAAAAGATCAACATTAATTAAGAAATATACAATTAGTACAGGGAGAAACTCAGAACATCTAAGGCAGATTAATACCCTGAAATTGCTGTGTCATCACATGCTTTGTTCATTTGGTACACCAAGGATCAAATGACTTCCAAACAAGGCACCGTGTGTGGAAAGGACCGAGAACTGCAGGGTTTGTACCTACCTGCATGTCTCTCTCCAGCTGCAGTAGGTGGTATCTGTGCCACGTGAGGAAAGCTGGTCCTTCATGAGAGAAATCCACTCCACCAAAGCTTTCCTGTCCTACCCCGAGGAAAGTCTTTTTTACTGAATAGTAGTGTGTCCAAACAAAGTAGTTATAAATTGAAGTGTTCTCAAATTGTGGTGTGTTGCCATCTGGCCCAAATATTTCTTCTGATCTCCTGGTGGCAATGACAAACCGAGGGTGAATTGTACGCTTTGCCATATCCAGGGCCTGGACAAGGTATTTCTTTTCTTCCGTACTTAAGTCCAGAATGTTTCTCCTGACTTTAGGGATACAAAATTCAAACATGAGAACCTCTTTTTTTGTGGGGATGAGTAGATAATGAGCATAATAACTTTGTAACATACCATGTTTCATTTACCCATAACGATAATTTGCCTATAGGCTTAAATAATTTTATACTTTAAAAAATACCCCTTATTATCCCTCACTCCCTGCCACCCTTGGTCCCTGGCTTCCTCTGTCCCCCTCTCCTTCCCTCTCCAACTTAAACTAGGAATCTGGTAGTTTTCTGTGATCTTACTTGTGGACTAGATGGTTGTGTTCTGTTCATTTCTGTTCACTATTGGCACTTTTCTTCAAATTTTCTACCTTTTAAATATAGTAAATCTTACAAAAACAAGGCATGTGGTGTAGCACAGTGGTGAGGACCAGAGACTCATTCCATGACTGCACTCATGTCACTAAGCCTCAGTTTTTCATTTGTAAAATGTGTATGAAAATATAATCTTTTTGAAGAATTGTAAAGATTGAAGGGTATACATAGTAAAGACAAAGTAAATATTCTGTTAAACCTCAGTCTGGCACATAGAGAACAGTCAAGTTGTGCTGACTGTTACAATTTAATGTTTTGTTATTTGTTGTTATTTAGGCTGCAGGCCGGACTCTTGGTCTAAAATGACTAAACTTGATCACCACAGTGGAAAATTCCCTGGTGGGTTAGCAAGGGAATTAGAGCTAGACAAATTTCAGTATGAATGCCTGGTTTTCCAAATACCAGATCTGTGGAGTGGTCCTTTCTGAACCACACCTATGATAGTAGAACTGCCTTGAGGAATTACAGAAAGTATAGTCGTAAACATCTAGCACAGTTCCTGGCTTACAGTGGTTGTTCAACAAATGTTTTGTAAGGAAGTAATAGTCAATGATCAGAGCTTCAAGCTCATTTCTTTAAATAAAATAGATTTCTTGATCTCAGTAAGCCTGTTTCCTCAACTGTGAAGAGAGGATTGAGCTATGTAATTTCCAGGTGTTCTTCCAGCTCAAATGATCTGGGTCTCATGCAGGACTATCTATCCACTCAAATCCCCACTTACCTATGAGCACCCTCTGGTCACAGGCAGTTCCTCTCCATCCAGGACGACAGGTCCCACAGTTATGTCCTGAGAAGTTGCCATTACAGTGACACGTCCAATTGAAGAACCGTGTGGGCCAGCCCTCCCGATCATCTCGGCCATCATGTGGGTACTGGGGGCTGTGGGGCTGGGAGTCTGCGGTAGCTTCTTCACACCTGCCCCTTCCTGATGAAGAGCCACAGGGGTCGGTCCCAGGTCCAGACACGGGGGACAGATCTGGGCAACACACACCATTTCTCAAAGCCTCAGTGGTAGCACACTCTCTTGGAAACTGAGCCCATGCCTGGTGAATAAAAAGCAGGGGCAAGAAGATGCATCGTAGAGAGAGGAGTTTATGAACTTCCATTCTGCTTGAAGCAAGGCTCTGGTTCTGCAGCCCTTTGTGTAGGGGCAGAGGGACATAGAGAGAAATCAAGCTGAAAAGGAGAAAGCAAAATGGGATTATGCAAATTGTGTGTGTGTGCTGGTATAAATGCATGAGCCCTCTCCAACCCACTTTCAAAATACTTCTCAAATTTGTAAAATGACAATTCAAATAATAACAAATTTACCCTTAGATATTTAGAAATTTACCTTTAAATATTTGACATTTATAATACCTATGTAATTAAATCCCCTGTCCTAGTCATTTAGTTTTATTCACTTTTTATTTCTATTTATAAAAATACTTATCCTGGCTATCATTTATCAAGAGCATTCATTAGCAGGTCACCACCATTAATTACCTTTAACCATGGGGCTGAAAGAAGAATTGGGAGCAGATTTTCAGCAAGTTAATTCTCATTATTTGAAATCCCCATCGTAATAGAGTTTTGGCTGCAGTCCACCCACTTCCCGCAGAGCTTCTTTCCAGTACCTTAAACTCCTGAGGGGATTCGCTGCTGAACCTCTCTTAGAGCTGAGTGTTTTATATTTGCTAGTCCCCTGATGTCAGAGCTGTTAATTGCATGTGGGTTTCTGCCTGATAACTAATCACAAATCTGCTCACCCAAACTGGGAGGGGCTGGAGCTCTCCTCCACCCTTTGGTAATTCTCTTTCACTTCAGTGAGTTTTTCTGCTCTTTAAGTACTTGGTTAGCACATGATTCCCTTCCTACTGATTTCCTTGTGATGCTTAAAGTTTTAGGAAAACGCCAGAGGCACTGATTTGGAATACAACAAATTAGATAATCTAGAGAGCTTTTGTTTCCATCGTAGAGATTTTATTTTATTTTTGACACACACACACATACACACACATATACACATATTTAAGAATGTGTGTATATACATATTATATGTAGGGGTATATATATATCTTTATATAAATATATATACCTTTATATATGAATACATAAAGATATATATATATATATACCCTTAGAGGTTGAAACGAGAATCCTTACTCTTTCTTAGTGATACATGGGTTGGGCTAGTGCATGTACCTCATGGAAGCTTTTGATTGTGTTTGGTTCTGAAAACAGATGCTGCCATTCTTACAATATCTAGAGAATAATTGTTGTAGCCTGCCCTGCCTGGTCTCAGGAAGCTGTAATCCCCCGTGACTTAGGCTGAGTGAGAGACCTCCGAACCAGGAGCCACTAAGGAGACAAAACTTGTTTCCCTGGCATGAATGCTGCCTGTTCTGTGCCTGGCCTCCTATGCTCGATCAGTTAGCCAATGACGGGTAAGATTTCCCGTGAGGGGAATCGCCTAAGACAGGCATGATTGTGAGGAGGCCTCAGGGAAGAGACTTGGGGCTGTGGATATGAAGGGGTGATGGACATCAACCCCTCCCCTCTCAGCTTTGTCAAAGCCTGAGTCCTTGTTCTTAGTTGTGAGAAATCCAAGTCTCCTCTGCCCCACTCAGGATTGCGGAAATAACAGGGGCAGTGCAGTCCAGACCAGAGTCAGTGGACACCCGGGGTAATCAGGCCTGGGACATAGAATATGCAAGATCCTGTGAGATCTGCTTGCTGGAGGATGCTATTAAATTAGAATATGAAGGCACGGGCAGGAAATGAGACTAGCCTTTTAGGTCTCACAGTCCTTTTAAGTGATAAAACCTCAAACTTTGCCCAGAATCCCAGCTGGAGTTCTGTCAGACCCTTTGAAAATTACCTATTCCTTTTGATCTTCCCTGCCAGACTGTTAATCCACAAACTGTGTCTATATTCTTAATAAAAACCTGCTTGGGTGGGAAAACAAGGCACTCTCCACTAGAGAGAGTGGCCGTTTTGTTCCTATTTCCCCAGAGGACTTGGTTGTCCTTGTGTATGTTTTTCTTGTGTTTTGATGAGCCATCTGCAGTGTTCCGAGGTCACTGCAGGCTGGTGGCCGCATCAAATAATTGCTGTAGAAAAGGCATCAGATACGATTATACCAGGCCACATGATGTTGGGTCTCCTGGTGCCTGCTGGTGTTGACAGCTGGGCACCCCAACTCCCTCCACCACCTCATGGTGGTATCCAGCTCTGTGGCAGAGGGTCAGGGCTCGCCACTGCTGCTGTGCTTTAGAAGATGGCCTCCAAATGGCTTCTTCCCTACCTTCTCTTTAAGCAGCCTTAAGCCAATGGCACTAACTTTAAATTGTTTAAATGCCTTGCTAATTTTAATGACTCTATATAATCATTATACAACCAATATATCAAAGTTTTGCATCCACTCAGGACAAAGTTAATTGTGAAAAATAACATATAAGATGATATTAACAGAGTTTTTTGGTTGTTTTGATTTTTTCAGTCCAACTTCTTGCTGGACGGAAGAAGAAAATCTGTTAACATAAGGGGAACTGGGTGAAGAGTATATGGAAACTGTATTATCTGTGTAACTTTTCTGTATATCTAAAATTATCCCCAAATAAAATGTTTATAGTAAAAATCTATTTTAAAACTTAGGTAATGTATTCATAAATATTTGTGTGTGCAGATATCGGTAAACTACAATGTATCATATCCTGTGGAAACAAAACAAACAAAAACAAAAATGAGGCTTTGCTCATCACACCTCTTGTGTAATTCCCACAGTCACTTCAGGACGCCCTCCATGCAGTGTGACCATAGATGACTGACAAGGAGCATGCCAGGGCTTCAGTATCTAATTGCACACTATTAATTAAATGTAAGAATAAATATAAAGTTTTGTTCTGATATTTTCCTTCTGGGCCCTAATGGATTTGTGTGTCCTCCAGGAAACTGTGGGCATACCACCTTGGATGTCACTGTTAAAAGTGATCTTATTCATTCACATGGAATTTGTCTATGAGTTGGTGAATCCCATTAATAACTCTATGAACAGTCTTTCCTTAGAAAATCTGATTTAAATATCTAACTTCATATTTACTAAGTTCACTTAAATGTCCAATAGATCAGACATTTCTAATGCCTTCCTCAGTCTTTCTCATCTCGGTAAATTTAATTACTGTTTGTCCCATTATTTAGGGGAAAAACACCTGCAAAAGCCACTTTTTCTTCCTCTTCATTTCATGCAAATTGCATTCATCAATTGGTCTAACCACCTGCCTTTGAGCCATTGTTGCCTCTCACCTGCCTATGACAGTAACCTAATGTACCTCCTCACTTTCCATGCCCAACCATATAGGAGTTTATTCTCCACACAAAGTGTTTTTCTCCATTCAGAAGTCTGAGACAACTTTTTATTGTCGATACCTGTTTACCACTGCTCTCAACAAAACCTTCCAATGACTTCTGAACACACCTAGAATAAATCCAAGAGCTTATAGAACCCCACACGATCTAACCCTTCTTTGACAGCCTCCTACCATCCTCCTTCTGCCCTCTCTGGTACCCCTCTGTTTAATAGCAATCTTATTACAACCTCAGTGCCTTATATTTACTATTGTCTCTGCTATTTCCCAGGTGTTTTATGACTTACTCTGTCACTTCATTCAGGTCTCAGTTCCAATGTTACCTTTTCAGAGAGGCCTTGCGTGATAGCCCCACTTAAAATAGACCTCTCCACCCCTAATACCATCATTCATTACTTTCTTTTTAAGACTTAGTCTTTTTTATAATACTAAATGCTACCTGAATTTTTATTACTTATTTATTTTTCACTTGCTGTTTGTCTCACTTATCAGAAGACAAACTTTTGTCATTCTTCAGTACTGACCTAAGCAACCTCTAGAGAGTTATATAGCCATTTAAAAAAAAGAACTAGGAGTAGGCATCTGATCTATTTATTCCTAGTCTAATGGTAACCACTACTCTCATTGATAAGAATAGATATAACTTACCTTTAGCTATTATTGGCATCTATTATTTTCCTAAACACTATCCATATATGACCTCTCATTCTTTCCAAGTATTATTAAAGTATTATTTTTATTCCTATTTGCAGATGAAGAAACAGAGGTTTATGAAGTTTAAACTTTTAAAGTTATGTAATTTAAATTTTAGGTTTTGAAGCCAACTTAATTTGGTTCCAGAATGTTTGTAGTTTGCAAGTACTGCTCTGTTCTGAAAGAAGAAGGCTGGGGAATGAAAAAATGCTGTATATCAAGTCACACAATTTACCAGCTTTGACTTAGTCAGCAAGCGCCTTTGTTCCCCTGAGTGTCAGCTCCTCATCTGTAAAATATGTGTAACAAGTACATATCATTGGGGCAAATAAGTTCAGATAAAAATCATCAGTAGAGTGCAGTCAATCAATACCAATTTGATAAGTAAATGAATCAAAGGTAGAATTTTGAAATGGATGAAAAATAGTAAAACTGACAACTTACTTGTAAGTACCTCACTGTACTTGGGCGTATTTCACACAGTGCCCCCATCACTGACAAGTGCCCGACTGCCACGCACTGTGCTGTGGAACAAGGATGTCAAACCCTGAGGAGAGGGGGTGGCTGAAGTGGCACTCTCTGCTGACTGCGAAAACCTGGGGGTAGCCCCCAGTAGTGAGTTCCACACACACAGATTGACACTATTCCTCAGTTGACTAGTGCTTCCAGTGCTGGTACAAAGCATAAAAAGAAAAAATGTACTGATGTCTTTCCTCTTTCACTGAACATTGTGCAATAGTTAAATGACAAAATCCTTCTAAATTATTCTCAGCATAGTCCAGAAATGAATGTCAAAATACATATGCAGCACTCCTTTGTCCACTGCAGAAATTAATTCTAATTTTTCTTTGGTGGAAGTTAAGTTTTATATAGTAAATTTTGCCTTATGAATGGGCTAAATCTGAAGCTGTGCTTATGTGTATCTGTCTACACAGGAACCTAACAATACATGCATTTATAAAAATGAATAATTATTATTACTAGTTAATAATGGAAAATTATACTGCTAAATTATATAAACCAGGGGTGTCAAACTCATTTTCACCAGGGGCCACATCAGCCTCATGGTTGCCTTCAAAGGGCCTAATGTAATTTTAGGACTGTATGAATGTAACTACTCCTGAACAGTTAAGCGAGAGCTCAGCACTGCTGTCAGGTAGAAACAAGGTGCTGGGCCAGATAAAACAAGGTGGAGGGCCTGATTCAGCCCGAGGGCCTTGTGTTTGCCACCTGTGATATAAACTATCTCTTTATTATTAAAGCTGTATTAAACCAAATAAATAACTTTGAAGACATAGGGGGCTATGCATGGAAAGGTACTTAACAGAGAGTTAAGAATTGTGCTGCTTGGAAAAATACACAGCAGCGTGACAAGACTAATTAGTAAACACCATTTGTGTGTGTGTCATATGTTTATAGCTGATGTGAATGAAGATTGTATCTCAGGAAAAGGGACTGATCTCCCTCCTTCTATTTTGCTTTGAAGTCCTATGATTTTCATTTATAAAAGTAGCAAAAAAAAATCTAATGATAAAGGATCTTTATTTTTATAGAAAAAATTATTAATC